CACCTAGCCTTCTCGGACAAGGGCAAAAAATCTCGGAGGTCCCGTGAGCAAGTTGTGCACGTTAAAGATCCCTTGGTGGACTAAAATCGATAAGAGTAGGCTTCGGCCGCCACCCGGGCAAAATTCAAAATTTCCTACCAACTGAAAAAGTTTAGTGTGTCCCGCGCGCTCATATATGACCTTATGCAGTTGCGAGCGCCGTAAAACGCTTACAAAAAAAACACACACAAAAAACCCCGTCACTAATTGCCACAGAAATAATTACGACGTGAAGTGGTAGAAAAGGGTGTTCTCAACACCCACCATAAATTGTAGGCCTACCCGTTTATGGTGTGGCTTTCTTGAGATTTGGTTTTTTAAATTCTACCGACCAATTTCTGTTTTAACCCATGAGGGTTTCCATTATAAACTGAGAAGACGGTTTTGCTTGTTTACATCCGGGCGGGCATTCCACGGAAATGCATTTTTCCTGGAAACAGGAAATAAACCAACACCTTGTGCCGCTGGCCGCTACGCTGCCGCTGTGCCTTGTGACCCTTCCTCATGTGACACACTTAACGCTAATAACTTATTGACGCCTTTCCGCATAAGTTTAAAGCCAGGTTTGTCCTCTTGTGACTTTATATGTGTAATTGAGATTTATAAGCTAGATTTGAAAAAATTGCTGTGTAACCACATGTAGATCTAGATCTAGATCTAGATCTAGATCTAGATCTAGATCTAGATTCTAGGGGAGGGAGGATTAGATCCACATTTTAAAAATCAACAAAAACACACAGACGTGTGCCTTAAAGTATGGCTATGGTTAAAGAACAAAAGGGAGTTTCTATGAAGGAAAGCACTATTCCTAGGCCCAGAAACTAGATCTAGATAATAATATATATGTATAGGCCCAGAAACCACTGACAATAGGCTTAGGTCAGACAGAATAATTATTGTTCCCAGTGTTACTATTCCCAGTGACACTGGGAGCTTAGGCCAAGAAACTAATCCCAGTGACACTGAGAACAGACGTAGATCTACAGGCCTTCGATCTATTGGTCCCACATTGATCTATGGGCATGATGATGATGGGTTACTAAATACTAAACTAGATCTAATCTAGATCTAGATTCTAGATCTAACTAAACTAAAGTAGATTATGGTGTGAGTGGAATAATTTTTTTAAAAGAAAGGAATGATCATTCTATCATTCTATGCTTGCTTGTTATTCAATCGTAATTTAGATCTAGAATCTAGATTTAGATCATTGATGTACATGTTAGATCTTAGATCTAGTCTAGATCTAGATCTAGATTAGATCTAAATCTAATAATGCGGATTTTGGAGACCACGATACAGGACAGGTGGAAAACCTTCCCGATTCTTCTTTCTTCTAGATCTAGATGTAGAAAATCTAGATCTAGGCTACAGTCAAGTCTAGAGGCCAAATAAGAGAAGAGAACAAAAGTACTGAACTGAAGTGAGAAGACAGTCTACAGTTTCACACGTTAGAGCTGAATCAAGGCCTAGAATCTTGATCTTTTGAAAAGAGCTGCAAATTTCTCTTCAAACTCTTTGAAGGAGGAGAACTTTGCACCCTCTTCCATCTGCATGGCAATACATACATGTAGATCTTCTAGACTAATTAATTTTGTTTCGAAGTTCGAAGTGAAAAAATTAAAAGGCTATTTTTTTAATGCAAAAGAGTTCCGTTGTCACTGGGAACAGTTTCTGTACCTATCCCAAGGAGATTAAAAGTCAAAAGTAATGGAGGATGCCCTGTGGGCGGCACCGCACGCCTGATAGGAGCCCTCTCTCGCGGCGGAACCGTGGGCTACCTGCGCTGCGCGATTGCCCGATTAAGGCACTGAAATCTAGATAAGAAAGAAGGTTTTATTCCGAGGTCCTTCAGATTAGGCAAGTCAAGTAGTAAAAATGCCTTGCACCTGTGTTGTATTTAAGTGTAAGAACCGATATGATGCTGCAGTGGACCGA